TCTAATTTTCAACACAACAACGTTTAAAATTAAATGTCAGATGAATCCAACCCTCCATCGATTTTCCCAAAACCATTAACATGCATAATAGAACCCAAAATCAACATGAAAATGGCAGAAGGTAACAATGCCAAACCTAGACCCCCTTTTCTCTCTTCTGAAGAACGCAAGAATTCTGTAGGCAGGTAATTAAGAAAAATACAGATACACAAGCTGCACCTACATATCAAAACGAGGGTTTTGATGAAGAATTTTGATGGCACAGCATGCAATTAAAAAAAGGGTGTTTGCTTGAATCAAACCTGAGTCTCAATTTAAATTCAAGGAGGGACTGTAAAACCTCAGCAAAAAACAAAACCACCGCTTTGCAGGTGAGAAGTTGGCCGCTTTTGGTTTTTTACTCACTGACTCTCTACTAAGAAAAAAACAGAGAGTAACAACCAACAATTGTCTCTTATGAATTAAATTTGAGAAAAAACAGTGGTGTTGGAAGGCCAAGGGGGTTGGATTTTATAGCTCTCTGCAATGAATTCTGCTCTGCTAGGGATAAAATCCGCTAGCTGGTTTTGTGAAGTTGATTACAAATGTGCAAGATCAGATTGCAAATTATCTTTATTTTCATTTTGTGAGTAAATAGGCCAATGGAAAATTATTGAAATTTGCCACTCAAAAATTTGAACTTTTTTTTTATGGAGGAATCATATATGAGAGAATGGTGTAGACAATAGGCATCAGTTTAATTTGATGGGTTTTATAAGGAACATTGTTCATGCTTGATGCTCTTTTTTAACTAATTACTTATTTCAGTACCTTCTTTGACTGCCAATTTCTTGAATTCATATTTTTCTTTTTTCTTCAAGTAATTTATGTGATTCTTTCATTTTGATTTTTGAATGATTGAATTTTTTTATTAATTTATGTGATTCTTTTATTTTGATTTTTGAATGATAGAAATGAAGAATGAGACAATAGAAATATGGTGCATTACATTGTAAATAGATAGAAGACAAATAAAAGTTTATTTTGATTTCAGCCAAGTAATATAAAAAATCATATAAAATAAATTATATTTCAATATCAATATACAAGTTTATTTTGATTTAGGTGAAAATTATATTTCAATATCAATATACAAATCTATTTTGATTTAAGTGAAATTTTGATTTAAATGAAACTTACTCTTTCAAAAATACATCAAATATACATAAACATCAAATAAAAGAGTATACAGTGAAATCCAAAATTATGTTTTATTTTTTAAATCAATTATCTTTTTAACTTTTAAAATTATGTATATAATTAATTTTCCATAACAATAAATTCAACTTATTATATCTTATTTCCTTTCTATTTATCAACTAGATTAACCACTGCATTTACAGTTGTAATAAGTTCCAAAACTTACTCTCGAATTTTTTAAAAAAATCCCAACATCCACAAAATCAGTAGAGTTTCACAAATACACCAAAATCACCCCTTAAAATCTTTTAAAGAATTTTCAAAGATTATAATAAAATGTAATGACATCATATAAATTGTCTGCGGCCCACTATCATAAAACCACCCTTCCAAAGGTCTTAAAAAATTGTTTTCAAAATCATAATAAAATGTAGTTAAAAAGTTTTTTTTTAGGTTATGAGTGAAGGTAATTATATTATAAAATTCTTGATATTATAGAAATGTTTGAATGATTTTATTCAATACAAAATATTATAAATAAAATAATAATATGTCAATTTTGAATTAGTATAACTAATTTATCATTATGTACCACGTGAATGTTCTAAATTGTTCCTCTCACTTTTTTTAATATTTGTGTTGTCATGATAGCTTTTCAATCTCAAATATACCCGCCTCATTTAATCTGTCAAGCCAAAAATCACAAATTTTAAAAATAGGAGTTATGAACACTGTGATTGGATATGAATTCAACTAGTAAAAAACTAGTTATTTTTTAACTATAGTTAAATTTGAAAAAATGTGGTATGGTTAGTTGTTAGTGGATATATTAAAATAATATTTAAAATAAAATAATTAAAGTTGATTTAGTGTAAAAGTAGGAGAAAATGATTGGAAGTGATAGTTAGTTAAAATTATGTGAGTAGATGAATAGTGAATTAAAGTTGATGTGATGTGTAAGAATGATTGGTTGATATTATTTAATTATAATGATAATATTGGAGATAGTGGAGTTGAATTAAATTTGAGTTTTGATTGGTTTTTTTACTGTAGAATTTGTATACAATCGCCCCCTAAAAAACAATACATTGTTTTTATAATAATTATTATTCACTTTTTACGTTGTAACCAAAACCAAAGACAAGAATAAAACTTTGACAAACAGTCGATATTAGATGGTAAAACTTACTAGATCATTCTCTAATTTGTAAAATTTATTAAGGTTATTCTAAATTTCTAATGTTAGGTACCCTTTTAAATGTCTCGTATATACGTGACGATAAATATCAATTTAAAAGTTGACATGTATCTTTTTATCTAATAAATAATTAAAGAAATATATTTTTTTATTACTAAAATATTGTTACTTCATATCTAAGAAAACAAGATTATAAAATATATTTTATTTTATCCGAAAAAAGTGTTAAATTATTATATATTACACAAAAATTATGAAAAAAAAAAATCGTAGAAGCCGACACCGTAAATTAAAGACTCATATTGTTGCCCATGAAAGAGGAACAAAATGAAAGTTCTTCCATCAAATTTGGACAACGTCGTTGAAAATTGTTGTTGAATTCTTCATACCGACGTCGCACGCTCCTGAAAATCTAATAACTTTGCTAGCATTTTTTCGACTATTGAAATGGCGTATCGATTATAAGAAGATATGAAGAAACGGGCGTTGACATAACAAGATACTGTTAGATTCTCTATGAAAAGTGATTTCTTACATATATGTTCCAATGAAGTCCAATGGTTGGATCTCATGTGACATTTCAACAAAATTTAATGCACTATGTTTTGATTTTTTATTTTTTTTTTTGTGTAAATTTTAACAATGATTTAACAAAGTATGAGGTATTATATGAAGAAATTAAACATGTCTTTGGAAAGAATCGGGTCGAGCATTTCAAAATATATATGTTTTGTTAAAATCCACCACCAGTAGACTGGCGGCAAAGGACATTTGACGATGGCGGCCGGCGGCGCATGACGCAATGGTCAGATCTTCAATTCTGACACGCTTTTAATTTAATAGCCCATATTCTTTTAATTATTTTTATTTTTGCATACATGATGTTGAAAGTTAATACATTTTGTTATGAATTAAAACAAATTATAATTAAAATTAAAATAGGAGTATAATAGGTGTTTCGCTTGTACGAGGTGTACGAGATAATGTACGAAGCAGTAAACATACTTTTTTTGCCTTGTACATAAAATGTAGGGTTGACATTGAAGTTTTGATAAATTTAATAGTGAGATGGAGTATACCTATTGTCATGTATGTACTAGAGATGTTTGACAGACCCCTCTGAAATTTTTAAATAATCCAAAAATATTTAGGTAAACTCAAAATAAAAAAATAAAAAAAAAATATATATATATGGGTAAAAGCTATCTCAACGTGAGGCTTTGACGAGAGTCTATATTTATAGGTGCAGAAGAGATAGTCTTGAAAAGGAAAACATTAATTTGTTTGGTTCTTCATGATTTGATATAATTTGTTTTCTTATTCTAAAATTTGACTTAATTGACAATAAATATGTATTATATTAATTAGATATATTATTTCTTTTATATTCGTGTATAAAAATAAATAGACACTAATTAATAAACTATTAAAATTTACGTTTTCTAGGTCATAACTATGAAAAGTTTGGAGAGACTAAAATGGTTCTCAATAGTTAGGCATACTAAAGGAGACCAAATTCTAACACTTAACATGTCTTCTGGATCTCACATGAGCCAAACAAAGGGATAAAATGGTTTTCTGCTCAATTCATAGACGAGATTATAAATTGATACTTACCTCAATCAAGTGCAGCCTTCGGCCACCTTATGTAATGCTGATGCAGTTCAAGAATGACAATCCTGATTATTTAATTGGGCTTTGAGAACTCTGTTTTAATATCTTGCTATATGATTTGAAGTTCTATAGACACATTTGTGATAGATCCACAATCACACACTTGAATTATTATATTAATCAGAGAATGCTTGTAATCCATATGATAAAAACTGGTTGAAAATGAAGCAGAAAGTAGGAGACTAACAATAATATCATCCATATAACAGAAAAATAATATGTAGGAAAAAAATGCAGTATAAACGGACACGTTCACAACTGTAGCATGTCATGGATATATATGTAAATTTATGCCTTGATTCTATGAAGATATAAATGATAAATATAAATCAATAACTTACATCATAGTTCGTCATGTTGGTGATGAGCCGTCCAAGTCTTCTTGAGTGATCATTTCTTGTGCCGTCCCTCTTTATATATAGAGGGTTTTCGACATTAAGTGTCAATTTCTTGTGCTTCGTAATCTTATGTGTCATTATTTTTTTTTTCTTTTTTTGCGCCTAATGAAATTACTTGATAAATAATTTATTAGCCTGAAAAAAAAAAAAGAAAGAATATTACAATTGTGTTTGTTTGTGGTAAAGTTTGTTCAAAATTATAAAGTAGAATGTAGAACAATAAATCCAACTGCATGAATAAGGCATTACTCTCTTAACATACATTAATGAAAAATATGAGAAAACGATGAGCATTCATGTATAGAGAACATAGAATATCGCGTATTAACCACACTAAGATATTTATCTTGCCTCGTCATTTTAATTTCAATTTTCTTTATCCACACATCAATTGTTCTTCCTAGATGAGAATTACTGAAAAATGTTAGGAATTGAAATTAGGCATCACAAGAGAAGAAAAATTGGGTTACTAGGGGGTGATTGGATATGAATTCAACTAGTAAAAAACTATTTTTTTTTTTTTACTATAGTTAAGTTTGAAAAAAAGTAGTATAGTTAGTTGTTAGTGGATATATTAAAATAATATTTAAATTAAAATAATTAATAAAAATAGGAAAAAATGATTGAAAGTGATGGTTAGTTAAAATTATGTGAGTGGGTAAATAGTAAATTAAAGTTGATGTGATGTGTAATAATGATTGGTTGATATTATTTAATTACATTCGTAATATTGGAGATAGTGGAGTTGAGTTAAATTTGAGTTTTGAGTGGATATTTACTGTACAAATTATATACAATCACGCCCTAAGACTACCTGGCCTAGAATTTGACCATGTTTAACTAGGGCTGGTATTATTTTACTAAAATCAAAAACCAAACCAAAGCGAAACGAACTGACGAAAAGATAAATCGAACTGAACCGACTCGTTTGTAACCGTAGCTGATTATTGGTTGTTGAATTAATATCAGTTCGATGTCGATTCCGAACCCATAAAGATTAAGTTAAAACCGAACCGTACCGATAAGGATTAAAAAAATATTAGTTTAAAATTTTAAAATAATAGCCAGTTAAGTTATTTAAGTAGTCTTAGTTAAATATTAGACAATTTAATACTTAAATTAGTCAAATAAAATAATAAATTAGGCTACAATAATACAATACATAACTTGATTAATCAACATAACTTGATTAATCAGTTAAGCGCATGCATAAGGTCTTGCTGCTGACAAATGGCTATTTCTAGGTGTGTTGGTTACCA